TTGCTATGGGGTGCGTGCACTTGCCAGAAAGACAGAGAGAGACAGAGAGACAGAAAGTGAGAAATCACCCCCCAGGGGGAATGGCCACACTGCAATCCCTTCTCCTCCATTCTCCTCTCAGGATCTTGGGCATGTACGCACACGCGTCCAGCGTGATTTAAGCCACCAGGTCCGGGACTCGAACCGCAGTTGACTACATGGGAGTCCAGCGACATAGCCATTATGCTAACTGCTGGTTCCTGGGTAAAATTCTAAGGTAAGTTTTTATCCCTAGTGTTCTAAATCTATTTATTAAACTCAAAAATAAAAACGAGGGGACCAGCAGTTAGCGTAATGGCTATGTCACTGGACTCCCATGTAGTTGACCGCGGTTCACGTCCCGGACCTGGTGGCTTAAAACTCACGCCAGGCGCATGTGCGTGCATGCCCAATATCCCGAGAGAATGTAGGAGAAGGGATTGCGGCATGACCATCCCCCCTGGGGAGTGGTAATTTCTCTCTTTCTGTCTCTCTGTCTCTCTCTGTCTGTCTGGAGAGCGCACGCGCCCTATAGCAAAATCTCTCAAAAAAAATAAAATAAAATAAAAACGAGGAAAATATATGATACAGTTTTTCCAGAGATTGCTCTAAATTTTGCTTAACTTAGACTTTTTTAAAAAAATTGGAAATTTCTCTCCTGGAAACCTTCTTACTAATGTTGAACAGGTAGGTATTACTGTATTTTAGACTAGGATTTTTCAATTCAGTGATGCCTGGACACTCCCATACAACCATCCACATGCATAAAGCTTGAATGCAAAACTGCCCATTAGCAGCTTACAGTGGGGCAAGGGTTTTCAGATGGTGCCCTGTGGAGTCTGGGGTCCACTGAGGAACCTCAGGGCCACAGTGGAAAAGGAGAAAGTCACACAGGGTACAGATCCAAACCCTCATTTTCCCCATCAACCAGATGGCTAGCCCCACTAACTATTCTGCACACACTGGCCTTCTAGGGATTAGTTTGTCTGAAATGTCTTGTATCTAAAGAGTTTCAGAACTGCCTGTGTGATGATAAAACCATGATAATTTGAGTTAGGAAACCACTGGGCATCCTCAGCTGTAAGATGAGAGCAAGAGTCCCTGCCTTTCAGTTTATTAGGAGGATTAGATTAAATCAGAGGTAGAAAATGATCTGTACTACAGAAAAATACAGTGAAAAAAATAGGGTAAAATACTACATGATAGCATTTATACAAGCAGTTTTCAAAAAGGTCATAGAAAATGTGTATTATAAAAAAAGTATGGATTTAGAAATTTTTTCAAAATTTTATTTATTCATTCATTTATTTTTAATTTGACAGAGAGAGACATACAGAGAGAGAGAAAGTAAGAAAGCAAGCCACCAGGTCCGGGACTTGAACCATGGTCAGCTGTGTGGGAGTGTCCAGCACCTTAGCCACCATGCCACCTGCTGGTCACCCCAGATTTAGAAATTTTTGCACCAAAATTGAGTAGTATTTTAATGCCATTTTCCATGAACTTTTTGAAGTACCCTTATGCGAAGCACCCAGAGTAGTCAAATATGCAGACAAAAAAGTACATGGTAATAACCAGGAGCTGGGGCAAGGCCGGAATGAGGAGTTAGTGTTTGATGGTACAGTTTCAGTCTAGGCAGACAAAGTTTCAGAGATGGATGGTAGTGATGGTTGCTCAATACAAAATCCTTAAGGCCACTAAACTGTATACTTAAAAATGGCTACAACAGGAAAATAGTCAGGCCAGCAGGTGGTACGGAGGTCAAGGCGGCTGAATCCCACATTGCCAACTCCACAGTTGGAGTTCCTACCCTGGAGGCTTGAAAATCATGCTGCACACGTGTGCATGCATACCCAAAATCCCAAGAGGAGAATGGAGAAGGGATTGCAGTGTGACCATCCCCCCTGGGGTGATTTCTCACATTCTCTTTCTCTTTCTTTTTCCAGAGAACACATGTACCCTATAGCAAAAACTTAAAAAAAAAAAAAAAAAAAAAGTAAAATAGCTGAGTTTTATTTACCAGAGTACAAAGAAAATACTCCCCCATCCCTCAGCAAAAGAAGTAGAATATAGACAGTGAAATACAAAAAATTAAGGAAGGGAGGAGGCTATCTCAGTCTGGTGGGACTCATCCATTGCTTTAATGCACAAGTGTAAGGTGATTCCAAGAGAAAGGGTGACAGCACATCAGGAGGGAGACACAGCATAAACAAAGATGCAGAAGCAAGAGTGTGAGTGGCCACAGGGGTGAGGACCTGGCTTACTCATCCCCCTGAACTCACCCACATTTTTTTTTTTTTGAGGGCATTTGCACTCAAGAGAGAAAGAAATAGAGAGGGAGGGGAAGAGAGAGAAGGTACTCTTTCATGGGTCATGGTCGCATCACAATCCCTTTTCTATTTCTCTATTCTGTTGGAATTTGGAACATGCAGGGACACATAGTCAGGGTGTTTTCCAAGCCACAGGGATTTGAACCATGCACTCGGCCACAAAGGATTCAGCTCCCTTAAACACTAAGCTACGGGGCTAGCCCCACCCTCTTCTCTGCTCACCTCATGGCACCATGGTTGTAGTTTAGATTATTTTTATGTACCTGTCTTACCTCCTTGTCATGTCTCACACAATTTCTTTCATTCATTCATATATTCAATAAATACTTACTCAGGGCCTAGTCGTGACATTGTTAAAAGCACTTGGTGGTGGAGATACACACACATATGCATACGCACATGCACATGCACACACATACAGATTCCTTGGGGCTTCTGCTCTACGGATAATAGCTAATACCTAGGTAATACTATGTACAGTAACTGCTCTGGGAAACTTACACAATCATCCCCCTTACTCACAGTTTTTGTGACCCATTGTCAGCTGTAGTCCAAAAATAGTCCAATGTCAGCTGTGTACAGTACAACAACGTATTTGTGGGAGAGTGTGACCAACTTTGCATAACTTTTGTTACGGTATATTGTTATAGTTGTTCTATGCTATTAGTTATTACTATTAAGTTCTTATGTGCCTAATTTATGAATTAAACTTTATCATAAGTATGTGTGTATGAAAAAAAAAGTCTATCCAGAGGTGAGTACTATCTGCAGTTTTGGACACCCCTGGGGTCTTACTATATCCGCCATGGATAAAGGGGTGTTAGCTCATGTAATACCCATAATCACCTATGAGGTGAGTACTATTTTTTTGAGAGAGATTTTTGCCGTAGGGCATGTGCACTCACCAGAAAGACAGAGAGAGACAGAGACAGAAAGTGAGAAATCACCCCCTAGGGGAGATGGCCACGCCACAATCCCTTCTCCTCCATTCTCCTCTTGGGATCTTGGGCACACATGCACATGCGTCCGGTGTGAGTTTTAAGCCACTGAGTCCGGGACTCGAACTGTGGTTGACTACATGGGAGTCCAACAACATAGCCATTACGCTAACTGCTGGTCCCGAGGCGAGTACTATTATTAGTGCCACCTTCCACGTGGGGGATCAGGCATAGAGAAGCTAAGTTGCTTGCCCAGGTCATGTGGTTGGTCAGTAGCAGGGCTGGGATTTAAGCTGCCCTGTGGGCCTTCAGTTCTGACCCCCAGAGGGGCTCAGGAAGTGTGGGCTGAAGAACAGAGCCAAGGAGGTTTTGGCCAGAACTGCCATCTTCCAGTAATTAACCAAAAGTGCGAACACAAGGAGAAAGAGGAGAGGCACCCGATACATGTTTTCTAGGCCTTTTAGAAAACACGGAGTGATTCTTTTGGCAATATATATGCAAAGTCTACAAGAAAGGTGATATTGTAGACATCAAGGAAATGGGTACTGTTCAAAAAGGAATGCCCCACAAATGTTACCATGGCAAAACTGGAAGAGTCTACAGTGTTACCCAGCATGCTGTTGGCATTGTTGTAAACAAACAAGTTAAGGGCAAGATTCTTGCCTAGAGAACTAATGTGTATTGAGCATATTAAGCATTTTAAGAACAGAGATAGCTTCCTGAAATGTGTAATGAAAAATGATCAGAGAGGGAAGCCAAAGAGAAAGGTACCTGGGTTCAACTGAAGCGCAGCCTGCTCCACCAGGAGAAGCACACTCTGTGAGAACCAATGGAAAGGAGCTCTAGCTTCTTGAACCTATTCCCTATGAATTCGTGGCATGATGGGTGTTAAAAATAAACTAATCTATGGCCCATAAAAATGTTTTCCTTAATTGAACAGAATTGTGTTCCCTCCCCAAAGCTAAATTGGGCTGTAATTCATTTTATGATATCTTTTTTTCACATTTAGTATTTTTTTTACCTGAAAGATGTTAGGTGGCTTATTATGCAACAAATAAAACTCAGTTGGTTAGAAAAAAACAACAACAACAACAACAACAAAACAGCCAAGGAGAGGTGCAGGGGTGTGCTAGGGGCAGGGCTGGGTCATGAACCAGATCCAGGAGGTAGGACTCTAATTAACATCAGCTAACACCTATCATCATCTAGCAACAGGGCTGAGGAGCTGGGGACTGAGAGGATTTCCCTGAGAAGAGTCTGGCAGGGGAGAGAGTGGTGTAGGTGGAGACCAGGAGACTGGGAGGAAGGGACTTGCAGTTCCCTGCAGGGCGAGGCAGGGTGGTGCCACAGCTTAGAAAGCAAGACGTGGCTCTGATGCCTTGGAAAGAGGAACTGGTCTGTTTGGTGGCTTCCTGGGTGTGGGGGGGAAAGGAAGAGTCAGAAGTTCAGGCCTTAGGCACCCTTCCAGATTCACTGGGTGCTTGGAAGGAGACCAGTTTGGAGGTGCTCTGAGTGGGCAGGAAACACGATCTGCTTCATTAGTTAATCTGCAAATATTTATTTTTTTGAGGGCCTACTTCATGTCCGGCCCACACTCGCCTCCGAGCCGCACCAAGGCTGCTGACAGGAAGTCCAGTGTTGCACATTCATCCTCCTTGAGTGGGCACAGACAGATCCAGCCTTGGCTGGAGGGAGCCTCTGCCTGACCCCCACCTACCTTTTTCCTGCTCGGCTGCCTCACTAAGGTCTGGAAGCTTGAGCCCCACCAAGTTCTGATTTCTCATCAGGATGTGCTCCTTTGTGGGAAAAGGAAAAGACCACATTTCAGATAATGTCAGGCTGGACTCATTTCGGTTCTGTCTGGCTCTGCGACCCCTCAGTCTCAGGTGGGAAGCTAGAAGGGCAGCCTCAGAGGTGGGGTGATGAGATCTGAGTGGCAGCTTCTCTACCAGCACAGGAAGGTGCCTGAAAACCACCCCTGCCTCGCACCCCATTAGCACCACATTCCTCAAGTCAAGAACTACTCCTGGCAGCTGTTCATTCCTGCGCAGAGGAAGCCGGATCCTATATGGCTGACCAGGGTTTGGATTTCAAGCCCAGAGGCTTGAAAACATACTGGGCACAGATATGTACCAAGGATCCTGCTGGGATGGAGAACTGGAAGAAAAAAGGATTACAATGTGACTAAGCTCTATTGGGGTATGCTTAGTCTCTTTTGTTCTCTCCCTCTTGTGTGTGCACACATGTCCTCACAGGAAAAAAAAAAAAAGAAAAGAAAAAAAGAAAAGAAAGAAAGAAAAGAGAATGAGCTATGTTTGGCATGGTCTGCTTCTTTAACAAGCCTGTGGATAAATGAACTGATCAGCCACACTGCAGCTAAGGTTTGCAGAGGGCTGGAAGACAAGCAGAAATAAGGGCTCTGGGACAGGAGGGTGCCCTGGGTGTGTGCGGCTGTTTGGAAGCAGGTGCAGGAGGGTGAGATGGCAGGGGCAGAGTGGGACAGCAGCTAATTTTCAGGAGTGTTTGGCAGGGTGAGCCAGGTTATGCACTCTCTACTAATAGCAACCCCAGTCTTTGGTGACCTTAGGGTCAGCAGGTTGGCAGTAGTGCCCTATCCAGAGGTTTTTGTTTGTTTGTTTGTTTGTTTGTTTTTTTAAGAAAGAGAGATTTTTTTGCTATAGGACACGTGCACTAGTTGGAGAGACAGAGACAGAAAGAGAGAAATCATCCCCCAGAGGGATGGCCATGTTGGAATCCTTTCTCCTCTGTTCTCTCAGGATTTTGGGCATGCACGCACATAGGCCCAACGTGAGTTTGAAGCTGCCAAGTCCAGGACTTGAATAGCAGTTGACTTACATGGGAGTCCAGTGATATAACCATTACACCATCTGCTGGTCCCAGCCCTTCCAGGAGTTCTGAGTTCTCCCATCTCCTCTGTTTCTCTATAGCTTTCATGGAACCCCTTGACATTTTAAATTCTCCAAAGCCTGAGAATCTCTGCCTCAGGGCCTCAACAGACAAGCCGGGAGAGAAGGGATGCTGCCCACAGGCATGTAGCAGAGGTAGATTTGCACCTGCTCAGAGCCAATTAGCACCAGAGGAGAGCCCTCAGGGGAAATGATGGCAGAGTGCCTAGTGATCAGTGGTCTTTCAGTCTTCCGTTTGGCAAAGGCCGCTGAGTGGCTTGCTCCTGGATAAAGGAGGAAAGGAAGGGCCAGCAGAGGGCGCTCATGCTCCAGATGAAAGGCCTTAGAGCGACTATCCGCGAAAAGCTGTTAGTAGCATGGGGATCTCATGCGGCTGACCAGAGTTTGAGTCTTAGTCCTGGTGGAGGTCTTATAACCTTCTTTCCTGGGTGAGAGAAATCACCAGGGATGTGAGGTGTGGATAGTGGGGTGTGCCTTGTGTCCCAAGCCGGATCCCCGGTGACCAGAGACCGCCTCCAGTGCCTGTGCTGATCCACTAATCAGGCCAGGTGGGTTTTCTGTGTGAAACGCTAACATCAGCAGCTCAGCCCAGTGCCCCTGAAACTCCAGCCTAGAGCATGATGGGAGGTTCCTGAAAGGGACCTTGGCCGGCACTGGAATGTGTCCCTGCTCACAGAGAAATCCCCTCACTGCTCTAGTGCTGTCCGGTACCTCGCCTACGTGCCGGGCTGGCCTTCTGGGGAACTAGGACCAGGTGGGGATTTCTTTGTCCTGTTAACTCTTCTCTCCCTCACATGCGGGTCTCTCTCTCCCTCACATCCCTGGATGCCTCCAACCACCCCCTACATGGGGTGCCAGCTTCATGAGAGATGATTGTGCCCAGTTTGATGACTAGCAGAAGCTGGGGACACCCTGGACATTGAAAGATAGTCACCACCGAGGGGTAGCCCCTCATGGCCATCGTCACGCCTGTGGATGGATTTGAGTTCCTTTGCTGATGGGTACTAGCAAGAAAAGGCAGCAGGGAAAGGGCTACTTCCTCCTTGCCTTCCCAGACCTAGGCGTGGCTGGATACTCCATGAAGGGCTCCTGTCTATGAGCTGCCAGCTCTGGTTGAAGAAGGAACCCGCTGTGTCTCTCCACACACCTGCCTTCCCCTGAAGTGACGCTTGAGTGGCAACTATATCTCAGACCGACTTCCATCTAATAACCAGGGTAAAAAGCACTGAAGCTGGTGTGTGGGCGAGATGCCATACAACAGAGCCTGACTCCTCAAAGTGGCAAGGCTAGGGCACTGTGAGACCCAATCCAGGCTGGCATTGCTCTGCCCCAGGGCTGAGCCTCAGCCCAGAGGTCTTTGGCTCATGGGACCCTGGCATGTGCACCCTGCCCAGTTGCCCCCCAAGAACACACCTCGCGGAGCTTGGTCAGTTTTTGCATCCGGACGGGCTGCACTTGGATCTGAAGGTCTTTGAGCCCAGGTGTCTTGGCCAGTTTGCCGCCAGCTTTGCCTGAAAAACGCTTTTCTTCCTCTGCCAGTGGCAGCTTGGCAAGCACTTTTTGCAGCCGGGGACCAGGTTCTTCAGGGCTACTATCCCAGGAGACCCCCCGCAGCAGTGGGGGCCGGGACACAGGGGGCCGCAGCTCCACTTTGGAGCCAACCTTGGGGCCTGTGGGCTCCCCTGTGGGAGGAGCCACCCCTCCTGTGCCCTGAGCTGGGCTTCTTGGTAGGGGGTTGCCCTCCCTGGCTGTCTTCAGTATCTGCTTCCCCAGCTCACTCTCTACAGCGCTGGGCTGGGGGCTGTTCAGGGCCATTTTCCCACCACTGCTTATACCAGGTGCTGGGCCCTTGGGTGTGGTCTCAGGGTGCTGGAGGGGATCGAAGTTTTCCTTTTGTTCTATTTCAATCTCTTTGGACTTCTCAACAAGCGTAGGAGAGCGAGGAGTCAGCCTGCCCTGAGACACTTTCCTTTGATCATTCTGCTTCCGGTCAGCTAGCCCTTTGGAGACATTCTGAAAGAAACAGAGTAGAGCTGGGACCTGGAGGTAGGTTGAGGAGGAAATAGGTGGGGCTGCTCCTGCTGGGGGGCTTCTACCCACTAGGCCTGCCATGGAGTCCATTTGTGTATGGGGGAGAGGGAGTCTATTTAGAAGAGGGGGACTTCTCAGTCAGGGCTGAGCCAGCAAAGGGGCCCACACGCTTTGAGGTCTGTAAAAAGAGAGAGGCCATGAGGATTGCAACTCAAAACGACAAGAACTGCTCAAGAGCCCAGCTCTGAGAAAGATGGTGTAACAGAAGGCAGCCTTGGCCCCAACTCAGTTGCCACAGATTCTAGCCCTCACTCTGTCTGGCAAGGCCCTTAACTCTTAGAGGCTCAGATTTCCCACCAGGTTTGTGACCCTCTGAAATTGTATGCAAGTGTGTGTGTATGTGGGGGGGTGCATATATGTCTATGTTTGTGTTTGGGGGAAGGTGTCTTTTAGGGAAGAAAATCCACAGCTTTTACCAGCCTCTCAGTTCCAGGATCCAAAAGAGGCTAAGGGTCACGGGATGAGGTGTTTCATTTGGAGGTGGTGGCTGACTGCTCAGAAGCTCTAAGTCTACACTCCTCCTTCACTCCCCAGGGAAGGGGCTTTGTGAAGAGCATGTGAGTCTGTGTCTGTGTGTCTGGGTGTCTGTCTTGTGTGCATGCTGACACTCTGCCAGACGACTCACTACTGGCCCAGCGTGACTGTATTCTAGTGCTGCCTTTGGCAGGCCTCAAGTGTGAGAGCACCTTCCTCTGAGCAGGGTGTGTTTCTATCCCTGCCAGCAGAGAGGAGCCTTCCTGGCAGCCCCAGACTCTCAGCTTTCCTGCCATTGCCGCTGGAGCTGAGGGGCCCTACCTTGCCTGGCTGTTGCTGCTGGGCCTGGAGGTCCCCTTGTCCCTGAGTAGCAGCCTGACTGGGGGTGCAGGGTTGTAGGCAGGACCCCCATGGAGGTTGCCCCCACTGAATGCTTCCTCCTCAGCCCCTCTGCCTAAGGTAGAGCAATCAGTTAGGGCAGAGGGACTGGTGGTTTCCCCACCCACGACTCTCCACTCACTGGGATGTGTTCACACCCTCTGGCTGCCCAGGGGCCTGCCTTGACTTTGGGGAGCCCAGGTCTCCACACCTGGATCATCCAAACTGGGCAAAACTCAAACTCACAGGCTCGCCAATGAGAGGTGAAGAGACTTCAGCTTCATCCTCCTTCTGCTGCAGAAAGGAAACACAAGTTAGCTGCGATGAGAAGAGAGCTTGTTTCCTCTTGGCATGCCCTCAAGGAGGCCCCTGGCAGTAGTGTAAATGCCTCCCCAGCCAGCACCCTCACCTCCTGGGTGCCATGGAGGACCTGCAATGTTAGGAGTAAGGGGAGAAACGCGTTGGTGTAGACATGACACAGCAAGTGGGGGCCCTGTTACCTGTGGTGGCGCTCCGGGCAGAGGGAACTGTGGGCCACTGCATACATCCAACCCTGGAATGGTCCAGACACAGGTAAGTAATGACCAGTATCCCAGACCCTCAGCTGTCCCCATCTCCTCAGAATGTCCTCAGCAATTTCAGGCCTGGAGCTAGAAACAACACCCGTAGTGGACTGCTCCCACATGCTATGCCCTGAGGTGGGTCCTCACTGAACCCTCATAGAAACCATATGAGGAAACTAAAGCGTGGAAAAATCAAGGTCAAGGTCAAGGTCACATGGCCAAGGAGTATCAGCACAGGGCTGTGAATCCTGGCTGCCTAACCAGAGCCTGAGCTCGCCCTACAGCTCAGCAAGGGCGGGTGGGCTCCCTGTAGCCCAGGTCAGCCTAATGAAAGGGAAGAAACCAAAATGCAAAGAGGCTTTTTCAAATGAGCTCTGTGACTTCCGAGTCCTCTGGGCAGATGGTGCCCAGTCTACCCCATCCTAGGCTGGACCTGCCTCCCCACACAGGCCCCAAGACACAACAGAAAATATATCTGCCTTCTTAGGGGGGTAGCCCAGCTGGGAGCACCCTGGAAAGGGGGCCGAATGAGGTCCCGAATGGGAAGCCTGCAGGTCAGGGCGAGGTCGCTGGGAGACCTGCTGTCAGGGAGAAGCCAGGGCAGGAGCTGTCTGGGTGACTGGGCCTCACCTGGCGGGGAGGGCACTGTGAGCGAGTTGCTCCGAGAGGAAACAGGAGAAGCTCCCGGGCTGAGGTTTGGGGAAACAGCTGTGGAGACAGACACCAATTGCCATGTTCATGAAGGGTTAGGACCTCAGCCTCACAAAGATATCCATCCTTTTCAGGTAACTCTGACCCCCGGGAACTGTGTCTGCCTTGTCAGGGTCCTGGGCTGAGGTGGATAGCCATATAAACTCCTACGACAACCCAACCTTCCCTGCTGCCAGCCCAATAGAGGGGGTGGGCCTCGGGTCACTTGGGGGTCCAGGGTGGAATCACAACTCCTCAGCCTGCCTGGCCTTAAGGAAACTTCCAGGAACTAAGGCAGGTCCACTACAGGGGCTGCCCCCGATTTTCCAGCCTAGCCCTGATCTCAAGCGTGCCCTTCTTCCACTGTGTTTGGGCTTCTCCCAGAGCTGCCCAACAGTTCGCTTAGGAAGAAATGGCTCTAGCCAGAGGGGTAGCAGGGCAATGTCAGGACCCAGGAAACCTTCCCTCCAAGTCAGAGGTTTCCCCCAGATCCTACTTCCCCTTCCTAGAGTGCCTCGAATCCTCCCTGGGTCTTACAGCTGAGATAGGGAGAAGAAGCCTAAAATGGCCTCTGTGGACTTCTCCCAAGGAGGTACCACCAGAGCAGGCAGGGCCTCCAGGGGAAGGTGGAGATGTCACCTGGACTCCATCCTTGCAAGGTGGCCCAGGGATCTATGTGTGTATGGGCACCACACAGAGGGCTTCTCTCCGAGAAGGATGAAGGCCAGTAGAAGCTCGTGGAGGGTGGGGAGAGCCTGGGTTGTAAGTTCATGGACATCAGATAAGCTGACATTTCTTGGCAAAACATGAAGCCACAGGGTCACACACAGGGCCCCAAAGTAAAGGAGGAGCCTTTCGTGACTGAGTGGGCGCTTGAGGGTTCCTGAAACTGGGCTAGACACCCTCTCCTTGCAGGATCCTCTCCCCAAGGCTCAGTCCTCCTGGAACCTTAAGGCCTCCACTGCAACTGGGGCTGGGTCCTTCCCTCCCCACCCTTACTCTCCCTGCTGCCATGGAGGGATTCAAGGTAGTCCCTGCATGGCCTGGCCCTGCCCTACCTGTTGGGGAGTCTCCAGGGCTGCTCCTGGACTTCCTCCCACGGCGGCTCAGGAACCGCTCGCTCACTGACTTGGCTTCTTCCAGCAGCGCCAGGTTTTTCTGCTTGTCCTCCTCTGAGATGCTGATGTCCGGAAGCTGGTCATTTACCAGGTCAATGACATGTCCCGCAGGGTCTGCAGAGAGAGGGTGAACTTGGGCTGAGAGGCCCTGCCACCCACCCCTCAGCCCAGGGGTGCTGCCAGAGCTGGCCTGGCCACGCCTCCACCTGGTGCCTGTCCAGAGGAGCCTATGTGGGGACTAATAGCAGCTTCCTCAGTAGGCCTTGTTCCTCCACTTGTAGCCGGTGGCTGGGCAGATCTTTGGCCAAACAGCCAAGAAGCCACCGTGGGTTCTCGGAACGGCCCTAACTTGGCTGGTAAAGGAAGGCCATCCGGGAGCCTCATCTCCAGTGTATCTGCTCCCCTGGCGTGTTCTCGCTTCAGGTCTCTACTTTTGTTTTGTTTTTGCTAGAAGGTGCACGTGCTTGCCAAAGACAGAGACACACAGAGGCAGAGAGGGAGAGGAGAAAGCACCTCTCATGGGGAATGGTTACCATAATCTCTTCTCTTTCATCTTTCCTTTCTTTTAGAATTTTAGGCATGCATGCCCACATCCCCAAGGTTTCTCAAGATGCTGGGTATGGGCCTCAAACTGTGTGGTTGGCTATGTGGGATCTGGCTGCCCCAATCATCAGGTCACAGAATGCCCTTATTTGTTTGAGTCATTTATTTGTTTTTAAATTTTAAGAGGGTGCGTGTGTTTGCTAGAGAAAGGGAGTAAACCTTAAACCTCCCTCCCTCCCATAAGGCATGGTCACACTGTGATCCCTTCTCCTTAATTTCTTCATCCTTCAGGATTTGGGGAATGCACACACATACCTCCAGCGCATTTTTCAAGCCTCCAGGGCCAGGATTCAAACCCCACCATCTGCCACATGGGATACAGCTTCCTTAACCACTAGGCCATGGGGCTGGCCCCTCTGTTCTTTTTAAACAAGAGTGTGAGTTTCAAGTTGCAGATAAAGGGAGCAATCCATAGATCACGGGCCAGACACACTTCAATGACTGTCTGCCTTCCTTTTTCCTCCACTCACATCATGAAAGTAGTATATCCATTTCTCATTCCCTCCTTTAACCAGTTTTTTTCCTGCTTCTTCCCTTATCCAGCCAGCTGCTCAGACCCTGGCATTTGCCTATACATCTCTCTGTACCCTGCCCCTCACTAACTCTTACCTCAACCATTACACTGGCCACCTTTGCAGGTCCCTGCCTTTGGACTCTCCCCTCCATCCTATCTTCCACTGCCTATTAGTGTCCTGTTCTTAGAGCCGTACCTGCCTGTGTCATTCTTTTATCTCACTACACCAGGACACCTTAGCTCCACAGTGTGACATCCATTTCACTGGCTCCACGTGCTCCTCCTGGGGCCATCACTTCAGCCACTCTGTAGTGAGCAGTTCCATTTTTACCCCTACTCCCCCTTCTTCTGGGAGCAGTTCCTCAGTTCTCATTGAGTGAAACCCCTCCCACTCCCATTGCATTAATTAGGAAGGAGTTAACCACTCTTTC